TTAGATGCTTAGGGTTACATGCAGATGCTTTCCGGTTAAGGTGTGGAACATGTAGGTATTGGGCAACATAGTAGGCACCGGTTCGGACAATGCCAGACTTGCATAGGCATAACTCTTTCTTTCCCTTCCTAAATTTGCGAGAGAACTGACTCATCCCATCCCTGCTGGCATCAGATCGAGTATGTATTGGCCCTCCAATTGAGAGTAACCCAGGATATGGCCTCCTGCAATTCTGTCTTGAGGGTGTTGAAAGAGCTGTCACACTACTCGTCCCATATGAAATCACGATTCTTCTTGGTTAAACAGTGTACGTAGTGGCCGTGCTTGTAGTGAGTGTATCTCGTTCTTCCAGTAGGAAGAAGACTTTGAAAAGTTCCTCACAAAGTTTGAATGGTCTTTGTATTTTTGAAGGGTTTGTTTTGCATGAGGTATGCAATTCTCATTCGTCTTTGGTAGTGGTTTGGCCGGAGTGGGAACAAAGTTTAAATCTTTACTCAGGGCTGTTTTCTCTGATGTGGTAATGGATAGCTTATGATAGGTTAATATAACGTGTTCATTGTTTTTGTTTTTGCCAAATAAGCTCGGGATTGGGTTTTATTTACTCGGTGGATTTCCTGTGAACTTTACAAGGAAGCTTGAAATATTTGAAATGATATATATTGTAGGTTGTGTTTCCAGATGTCGAAGGAGTTGACAGTTTCATTCTTGTCCAAACACCATTGTTTTGTTACTCGATGTGAACTGGCCATGGTGATTGGAAGGGTAAGGACACTCTTGTTGGTAAAAACTGAAAGTTAGTGTTATTACGCAGCTGTAGTATCAGCTGGCTAGCTGTTCACCTGTTTGTGAATGATGCACCGGGTCGGAAGTCCAAATGTAGCACTCAAAGTCGGCGGTTTGTTGTGACCAGTCCTTTTATGAGCTGAAAAGTGCATGGAAATGTTTCCAACGTTGCCACCATGCCACTATAGTATTGAATGGGGGATCCACATGAATGAATCACCATTGCAGGCCTGCACCAGAGACGGGTACTAATACATGTACCGTTGAAAAGTTGTATATTACTAGCTAAATCATATTTTTGTTGTGTGATTTATATCTTGCAGACACTTTGCGTCCACAATTTAAGTCTTTACAATTTGCAATAATTAGGTTTTGCCCTTCACCGACATATAACCACTGTCTACTCGGTGTGTTACACCCGAGTAAAAGTTAAACAACCTCACGTGCTTGGTGGTCGAGTGGTAAGACGTCTGCTCAACAAAGCAGAAGGTTGTGGGTTCGATTCCCACCCGAGTGCTTTTGCTGACTTTCACTCAGGTTGAACACACTGAGTATACAGTGTTTGTACGTCGATGAAGGACAAAACCTAATATTGATGCAAATTCTATCTTATGAATAGTCTTTGCTACTTGATATGAACACTCCCCGATAGAAACAATACATGACACTCATTTGAAAATCCTCTGTACAGGCCTGGCATATCTTTTAAAAGTAAAGGCCTCAGATGCAGATGCTTCCAGGGTTAGGGTTGTGGAACATGTAGGTATTGGGCAACATAGGTAGGCACCTGGTTCGGACAATGCCAGACTTGCATAGGTGATAACTCTTTCTTTCCCTTCCTAAATTTGCGAGAGAACTGACTGATCCCATCCCTGCTGGCATCAGATTGAGTATGTATTGGCCTCCAGTTGAGAGTAACCCAGGATAGTGGCCTCCTGCAATCCTGTCTTGAGGGTGTTGAAAGAGCTGTCACACTACTCGTCCCATATGAAATCACGATTCTTCTTGGTTAAACAGTGAACGTAGTGGCCGAAGGGGGGATGCCACATGTTGAATGGGGGATACACATGAATGAATCACGGTCAAGTACCTCCCTCTCTCTTCAGTCCGATGGCGCAATTTGCGCTCAGTGGCCATTACTAGTCTACGCCCAACAATCTTGATCCACTGCTGATCTTGATGCTGCTGCAAGTCCCTGTCTAGTCCACTGCTTTATGTCGTTGGTTCCATGATGTTGTTGGATGACGTCTCTTCCCATAGACCAATCCCTGGATTATTTCTTTGTCGATTCCTTCGCGGCGCATGACGTGGCCAAAGAAATGCATCTTCCGCACAGCCATCTGTTGTCTCAGCATCAACTCACTCCCTGTGGTATCCAATACCCAGCGGTTGGTCCTCCTCTCCATCCACGACACTCGGAGAACGC